TTCTTACTGGTTTTGTACTACTTCTATACAGCATGTTGATGCACTTTTCGTGATTTCTTATCACTCGGTCTTTATTTATGATTATTACTCACTGAGTTAGAAGTACTCACTTTACTCCCTGCACCTTGTGTGCAGATTCAGGTATTTTCTGAACCCGGTAGCGGGTATTGGTTGATCGGAGTCAGAGTCATCGGAGTTTAGCAAGGTAGTTGCCGGCGTTCACAGCACTGCTTTCCTCCCTCTTTATTCTATTAGTCTGTACTTAGTACATTTCAGACCTTGTCAGTGGTATTTAGACCTTAGTAGATGCTCATGACTAGTGACACCCCGGTTAGGGCTGTGTTTGGGTTGTACTTCCGCATTGTTATGATATTATCTGCTACTTAGTACTATTAAATCATATTTTAGCCGGCAGAATAGCCTCATAAACCCCTATACTTGTTTCAGTTTGTCATCCCGGTCCCTGTATTTCACGAAATTTCACTCGAACACTTGTACTCGATCAAAATGAATAGTTTAAACCCCTCCTTATATGCGTGAGTCTCGCTTGCGCTGACATGGATAACACATCAGATCCATGTCAGATGCATATATCCACGTCATCATCTTCTTCTTTGCAACTAAATTATCTTTCTCCTCCACGCCAATTTTGCACTTCACAATATTCTCTCCATTTTCAGAGCCTCCAGGAAATTCACCAAAAAAATCATTTGCTTCAACTTCTTCTTTTTTTTTTTTTTACCATAGTTACTGCTTGTGAAACTATTAGATTCAATTTTTCTGGTTAAGAAAATGGTTGCAAAAACAATAAGGCAGCACCAGAGAGATCCCAACTTTCTTCCTCAAATCACAGTTTTTTTCACCCAAAGAGATCCCAATTTTTCATACAATCTGATTGCTATCATAATCGTCATCTTGACATCGTCATCTTGACCTTCGTCGGAGCAAGTGTTTAAAAGCAAAATCAGGTGTTTGCTCACGAATAAGTTGATTGCCGTTCTCCGCAAACTCATCCGCCATAGCCAATGCCCGTAGATCTCAAGGTTAGTCGTCAATGACTCAATCCACAAATTCTTTATTTTCGAATTTCTTTATGACTCGTTGAAAATTTGCATTTCCTTCAAGTAAACTCCCAACTTAAAGAACAGGAAAAAAGCCATAATTGTTATATCCACTGTAGTTGTCATTTACCTCCTTCATATGAAGGGTGGCGCTGGTCTTGATGGAGGAGGGGTACGGGGCAGAAGGCAGCGGGTGGCGGGTGATGGATAGCGTAACTTTACTGGGTGCTGGATAGGTTTGAAGATGGGACGAGGGGTTATTTTCCCTTTTACTTTTATTTGTTCTATTATTCTTTTTCTTTTTATTTTATTATATTTGAATTTTTTCTTCCAAAAAATTAGATTGTAAGTTCACGCTCTCTTTGCGCGTGCATACTACGCAGTTCTTACTACTCAGCAAAACAAATGCCACATAAGCTTGGTCAACGGTCAGAGGGGTTTAAAATATTCATTTTGATCGAGTACAAGTGTTTGAATGAAACTTCGTGGAATATAGGGACCGGGATGACAAACCTGAAAAAGTAAAAGAGTCTACTAGGCTATTCTGCCTATTTTAGCCTGTTTTATTGTTGTTTAGATGTTTAACTTCGAATTGGAAATGTGTCGGCTGGCCTTGTCTTCACGAGAGGCGCCATCACGACTGGGTTTGGGTTTAGGGTCGTGACAACAAAACTATTGAAAATAAAATAAAAATACTGACAACAAAAATCTGAAGAAACTATATTTCCAGCATTAGGCTTATGTGGTTTTCTAGAATTATGATTTATCCCATTTTCATATCTTTACGAAGATATCTTCATATTTACTTTGGAAATCTATTCTTTTTACAGTCGAAATACAGCTCTTCTCTGTTATTGCCCACAGAAATGAAACAAACATACAGTTAATATAGAAAAACAGTAAAAGTCAAGTTAGCACGTCATATCTTTCACAATATTGATGTGGACAATTTGCATTGTTGTGATATTCGCCAATATGTTTTTTCCATCCAGGCTGAAAATGTGTTCTTCTTGGTCGTTATGGCTCAAGGTGGAGGCTAGTAAAGCTTTCGTTTTAGACCCCAAAATACTGAGACTTCAAAAAAATTTATTAATGAATTTTGTGATTTTTTTCGCTTAGATAATATTGAGCCACCCTTGATTCACACAATATCCTAATTACTTCAAAATAATCTATGGCTCAAAACAATAAAACCCTTTTTGCAAAATTGAAATATTCATAAGGGGCCTAATAACTATTATGAAGGCCAAAGTCTTTTTGTTTCCTTTTTACAAAATTGAAACCAATTGTTCTTTTCATATAGTTTGGTTAGTCGGTAAAGTTTAATTGAACAGATAATAATAAACTAACACTGCGATGAGAACTTATAATATTATACTATCCTCTTAAATACTCCGTACTAGTTATTCTAGTAAATTCATTTCAAATTTATTTATATCTTAAAAACAATAAGTTGTTTATTATTTCTTTTTAACTCACCCTTTTTGTTTTAATTAGTATAGTGTCGATCAAAGATATGTTTAGGGCATGTTTGGAAAGCAACACTGTAATTAAATTTGGGTGTAATTATACAATTTTATTATATTTGTCTAATCAAGTAATTACTTGGTCAGCATATAATGTATAATTGAGGGACTATAATTATACTCTCCAACTCTTAATGGGGCTAAGAATTGTTGGTAATTACATGGTGTAATTACAAAGTTATTTTTTTATTCTCTTTTCTTTTCTTTTTAATTTACTTTTTATTTCTATTTTTTCTTTTAAATTTACATTTTCTTTTAATTTTTTTTCAAATATTATTCTTTTTACATTGCTTACCTTTTATTCCTTATTTCTCATTTTCCAACCTTTACTTCACGTGTTTCTACATAATTTCTCATATTTTATTTCCTTCTTTATTATTTTTTTTATTTTCTTATTACACTTAGCTATGTTGTTGTTATTATTATTATTATTATTATTATTATTATTATTATTATTATTATTATTATTATTATTATTTAAATTATAACTTGTAATCTCGGAAAGAATAAGTCATCCACATATTTGGCTTGTAATGAGTGATATCATTAAAGTTGAACTTTGTTATTGGAGGAGGTTACATGCAAATTTAACTATATTAAGATGATATATTACTTTTTAATATTTAAATAGTATTCTAATTTTCAATCTCTATTTTTTGTGATTTCATGTAGTTGCTCATATTTTTTATTTTTCTTTATTTTCTTCGTTTAACATAATTGTGCTATTATTCTAGTGTTGAAACTATACCTCTTAATATTAAAAACAACGAGTCATTAATAAATTCAGCATATAATGAGTGATGCCATTAAAATAGAATCTCATTGTTGAATGAGGTTATATAGAAACTTATTTGAGTTTCTATATGAATTATATTACTTAGATTATGTTGAAACTTATTTTATGTTATGTTGTAATTTACATAAGAGTGTTATGTTATTTTTTTTGAACGTTTTAATTTATGTTATATTTTCGTTTCCATTTTATTTGCTTAGTAGTATTGATTTATTAATTCAAATTGTGTGCCATCCATTTTTCAGTTAGGATTGATAGATTATTTTTCGTAAAATATTTGAGTAATTTTGTGACATTATATTAATAAATATTAATCTTTATCAAGCATGCAGTCCAGGATGTTCTTACAAAATATGTAATTTTAGTTTTTATAATTAATTAGAGCAAAATATTATTTTTACAATATTATTTACAAATGTATGATTAGTATTTAATATATTTTCAAGAAACAATATGTATCTTAAATCTCAAAATTTAATATATTTTATAAGGGCATATATTTGTTAAATCTTAATTTTTAATTTTTGATAATTAACTTTATATTTAAAATTTAATCTAACTGTGTAATTATACGTGTGTAACCAAACAATACACTTATAATTATACTGTAATTATATTATGACAAACAAATATGTCATATTACAATACTGTGTAATTACTACCTTAGTAATAACATCAATTTCAATTACTTAGATAGATTTCCAATGTTAGGGAGGGCGGGCTAAATGCTCTTATAATGTCTTTCTTAAAAGGCATAAATTTTTTAAAAGACCGATAATATAGACCGTTTATTACGACCGTCTATCAGTGCTTTAAGTGGGCATTTGGACATAAAAATTACAAAATTCCAAAAAAAATAAAAAAAATTCAAGTAAAAATGGTATTTGAAAATTTGAATTGTGTTTGGACATGAATATAATTTAGGTTTTTTTTGAAGTTTTGTGAGTGATCTGAGTAAAAAATTTAAAAAATAACTTTTTGAAGGTTTTTAAATTTTCGAAAATTTCTAAAATGCAGAAAATTGAAAATTTTGTGATCAAACGCTAATTTTGAAAAAAAAGTAAAAAATTTCTTATGTGGGTTAAAATTTTTTTTTGTAGCTAGTGGCATTGAACCTATGACCTTATGTAGATTTTGAACACCCTTGACCACTAAACTATACTTTTGGATTGTCTTAAAGGTGTTCAAAACTTAATATATAGAGGTAAAATATAGATTCTGCCATATATATATATATTGTAATTTTTTGGCTTGTGCGCCCCCAACCCCCGCTACCTAAATCCGCCCCTGATTATTTTACACAGGGACCAACTCTTATGAATTAAAAGGTCAGTATCCGATGCTCAAATTCTTGGCACAGTTACACTTCTTCTTATAACAATTCCGTCTTTCAAAAAAAATCATCCCCTCAGTTTTCTTGTTAAAGTTCTGACCAAAATCAAGAATTGTAAATGCAAAGAGTGGCAGGTGAATTTAATTACCATCTCATTCAATGCTCTCAACTACACTTAAGTTATGCAATTCAATGCTTTGCAGCTAACTTGGTCCCATCTCTTTGTGGTAATTTCTATAGCTTTTCTATATCTACAGTGTGTGTGTGTGTGTGTGTGTGTGTTTCTAAGTAGTTTTGACAGCTTCACCATTCTTTTTCTTTCATCTTGTTCTGAACATTGTTCTCTGCATTCAATTTCTTCAGATCAGTAATTTAGTATTGTCCAATTTATTTATTTATTTTAAAAAACCCATTAAAAATCATTCATCCTGCCTTCATTCTCATTTATTCTTTCTGTAGCCCATTCATCATAATCTTTTGTCCAGTCCCATTCATTTGTTTTTTTGTTGCTTTGTTAAGTCATACTAAAATAATTTTTCTTTTTCTTTTTTTGCTTGAGTTTATTAAATATGTATGTACATGCCTGAGTTTTGTAGTGTATTCAAGAATGTAATGTGAGATATCAGAGTCTTTTCTAGTTGGTTTCTAACAAAAGTGAAAAAACAATGAATGGTATAGTGATAGATGAAAATCAGAGAAGAGTTGGTAAGAAAGAAAATGGCAGTTCTTGGAAATGTGCATATGGTTATGCCCAACATAGGCGTTGCAAAAGGTTCATTTTTTAGCCTTAGCTTACTCTTATTTTCCTCTAATCGTGCGATTTTTGTCTGGTTTTTGATGTTCCTTGGCTTATTAAATGGTTAATTATGATTTAGATATAGCAATGACTAAGGAGATATGAAATTTTGATGGACCAAATCTTTTTTGTTCAAAAACTTGGATTTCGAAATCTTCTGAATGTCGTTCAGTTCTTGGATGTCAAAATTAGAGCAAAAAATACTTGTCTTCCTCTTCAACTTATTGAATTAATCAGTAATGTCTAATTGGATGGTTAACTTTAACTTGAGTGTGAATGCATTTGAATATTTTGACTTGGCTTTATATGGTTGTACATTTATGTTGCAAGAAGAGGATGCTTTTTTGGCATATGAAGGAGAAAAAAGAAGAATCATTTAAAGAGTAGTTTATCAGTAAATCCTCTGAAATAAACACAGAGTAGTTTATCAGTAAATCTTCTGAAATAAACACAAAATCATGTTATTACCACTTCATGTTAGCAACTTGTACGAACCTTTACAAGATAAAAATGGCTACAGATGTTTGCTTGTTATGTTTAAGTTAATCCTTATTGTTTCTTTTCCTTGGATTCACATCCATGGTGAAAAATGACTAGAGCTGTGTCTAGATATTGCTGACCAAGAACATGAACTAACACAAAGGCGGAAGTTTACAAAAACTACAGTTGCTCAAATTAGGATGAGATTAATTTGATTAAGTAGGGAATCTTGTGTCAATTCATTCTTTAATTGCTAATTTAAATGTGCATGAATTAAAATTGAGTTGTGTCTTTGGCCTTCTAAGTTGGTTATGCTTTTGTCTCAGTGCTTCCGACAAAAATGTTGCTGTATCGAAAGGCGGAGACAGACAACCCGTAAGAAAAGAGTTGAATGAACCGCCTGTAAGAGCTTCATATTTTCTTCTATTGTATATGCGAAATTTGAGGATGTTTAATAATTTGGGCTTGCATTATTTAGAGGAATGATGAAGTTTGATTAGATAAGTAAATGACATGAGCAGATATAATCTTGAATATGCAGGTTTTGCTACCTTCAACGAGGAGTTGTAAAGCAAGTCCATTACATGAATTCTCCAAAATTATTAGCAGAGAGGCAGTTCCAGACCACAGAGTCTCCTTGGAAAAAGATGTAAATTTTATTCACTTAATGTCTATGAAGTCAATTCCATATCACATTTTTTTTACCAAAAAAAGGAAAAAATTACCTATGCAACTTGTCGAACTTGCTGCTACTTAAACTGCAAGCAATTCGAGATACCTTGAGGCTTGTCAAGCTAGTTGGTGTAAAGCTTAAATTGATTCTAGTTCTATGCTGTTGGTATTGATAGAATTTTTATTATTGTTAAAGCTAGGTACGGAATGTACTTGTTCTCCAATCTTTGTCCACTAGGAAGTAGAGAAAATTTTACTTATTAAACATACAATATTAGAAAATTTGAGGTTTCATGTTTTTCATTATCCATCTCTAAAAGTTTACTAACTCATTAATATAAGCAGGATCTCAGTAAAACTCCAATCTTGAAATTTAGGATAAAATGAAAATGAACCTTGTTTTCCATGTCTGAAAATTCATTTGGACATCTATAAATGGAAATGAGGCCAATATTCCATGGGCATACAGATTTCAGAGTACTTCAATATCATCGTGTTTCTCCTACTATAAACCGTAGGTAGAGCTAATTTCTTACCTCGTTAGTTGGAACGGAAGACATCTTAGTTTCATTTGGAAGTCAAAAGTAACTTCTCAGAAACTCTACCATGATCTGAATTTATGATTCTCTTTCACATAACCAATATGCGCAGATCGAGCAATTACAAATGCGTTTGCAGCAAGAAAAGTCGATGCGTATGGTGCTTGAGAGGGCAATGGGACGAGCTTCTAGCACTCTATCTCCTGGACATAGGCATTTTGCTGCTCAGGTACCTGACCTTTGACAACTAACCTTTTCTACTTTCTTTATCGCTTTAGTCCTTTGAGTTGTTTTGGTAAAATATAGGAAATGGAGCATCAGATAATGGTTTTTTACTCCTGCAATCTGCTAATTCGAATGGTTGATTACCATGTCTTCTAGTAACTCTATACAGTTCTGAAGATTGTCCTTGACTTGAGTTTTCCCATTATAGTTCTGGATGTAGTTCATACATATATTCTTTGTCTATAAGGTTGACAACATCAAATATTTGATGTTCTCTTCTCATTTTCAACTCCCAGCCTTGGCTCTGCTTAACTTAGTTAAGGTTAATATTGGTTTTCTTCTCATTTCAGACAAAAGAGTTGATAGCTGAGATTGAATTACTTGAAGAAGAGGTTGCAAACCGTGAGCAGCACGTCCTTTCTCTGTACAGGAGCATTTTTGAAGAATGCATTAGCCGGCCTTCTTCTGAGCAAAGTTCGGTCATGACTTCTCCAGCACATAGTAAAGCTGAGTCTAGAAAACACCCAAGTATAATATCAAGTGCCTTTTGCTCATCCAAAAAGTTTCCTTTGCGGACATTCCAAGCTCTTGCTGCCATAAATGAATTGGGAAAAAGGAACTTGTCGCAGTCAAAATCAAGACATGCTTCATTTTATAATAGTAAAGTTAATGCACACATTAAGAAAAGTTGTTCAGCCCATGCTAAGGTAAGGTTCCAACCCTAAGAGTAAAAAAAATCCTATGAATATGAAAAGTTCTGCTAACGTGGCCACACCTTAACACCTTGCTGTAGTTGGTCGGTCTCTTGCTTAAGCCCCTCATCCAGTCAGGATCCATATGGCGAAAAACATGAATCCTAGAATTCTTGTTTTTTCTGCTAGGAAAATGAAAAATTTAAAAGGACAAACCACTTTGACTTTTGTTTATTTGCTTCTGATATCTTGCTACTATTAGCTTTTGTTTACCTGTATGAAGCACACCTAAAGTTGAATACGTGGAGTATAATTTAAGCATGTCACTTTACGCCATGCATGCATTTATATCCAATTTAAAATTTTGTGTTGGTTCTTAAATATTGAAACCTAAAATTATGCACATGGAGAAAGTTGGAACTAAAGGTGAAGCTAAATATCATAAGGAATTCAATATTTGAGCAGTTGTAACTAACTTAATACATCTCCAGGTTCAAAATATTTTACTTATTTTTTGGTTTGGGCTGTACTTGTAATTCAGACTCTGGCATGCTACAAACTTGAGTTCCCCACTCATACTCAGTGCCCACAGTACAATATCAAATGGAATTCTATATCTATATTTTTTTGTAATTTTCTTTGACATTTCTCTAAATAGCTTATCCAACATTATGCAATGCTTTTATCCTCTAGTGTTCTATTACATTCTTGTGGTGTGCTCTGTGCTGAATCTGCCCATTGCTTTACTAACAAACAAGCTGTTCAATTGGCCCTTTATCATTCTCTGCTGAAAGGGGATCCAAATTACTCACTATGAAAAATTCAATCCCAATTATGTCAAAGAAAGACCCTTTTACTTGTAGAGCTTTCATTATTTGTTTCCTCTAATTCATGGGGGATATCTCTTTCCACATGATCGACTCATATTATTTTCTATCAATTGTTGCAGGAGCAAACATCAATGGAGAAAGCTCCTCTGTCCCGAAGTCTTAAAGACCATCTTTACCAGTGCCCCAGTAAGTTGTCTGAGGAAATGGTTAGGTGCATGGCTGCAGTATACTGTTGGCTCCGTAGTACAGATCAATTGACAAGTACTGAAGAAAAGCGATCACCGTTGTCATCAAGGTCATCCACTAATGTGATAATTCCAAAGCATGATATTAAAGAGGACAGAGATTGGTTTTGCAAATCCACTATTGAAATATCTTGGATAGCAACAGACAAGAATAAATTCTCTCGTGCATCTTACGCCATCAGCAACTACAGGTGCATTTCCTTGATGAGTCCGAAACTTTTCTAATGCTTTTTTGGACAAAAAACACGTTTCTACTACTAAAAAAAAAGTTACATAACTACCTAAAACGCAATACTATACTGCGAATTACTTTAACGGAAATTTAGCCGTTAAAGTAATTCGCAGTATAGTACTGCGTATTACTAAAAAATTATTTTTTTTAAAGGAATTCGCAGTACAATACTGCGCATTACTTAAATTGGGCCCCAGCTTATTTTATTAAAGCAATTCGCAGTACTATACTGCGTTTAAGTAATTTGCAGTATAGTACTGCGAATTGGCTTTAATAAAAATAAAGCCCTTCTTCTTCCCCTAGACAACGACAGAGTCCCCCCCCCCCCCCCCCCCCCCCCCCCCGCAATTAAAAAAACGAGCACTGTTCTGGTCCCCCAACCCCCGTCAAAATTAAAAAAAAAAAATTTTGGGCCCCACCCGTCACCCAGAAAGCAAAGAGTATAGGTCCCGCACACAAGAGAAGCTTTGGATTCGTTCATTCGGGTGCAAAAATTCGATTTCAATCAAATTCAAAAAACTTAAATCGAGGTATTTTCGATTTTGTTTATGTTGAAAACTCGTATAGTACATGCATATTTGTATTGTTGAATAGGTTTCCATGTTAATTTGTGTTATGTTTGTGTTTAAATTTGTATCTTATTTATACCCGGATTGATTTATTAGCTTTGAGACAAAAAATTGTTAAAATTTGATAAATAATTTGTATTGTTAATGTTATGTTTTTATTTGGTTAAATAATAAATAAATATTATTTATTTAGTTTGTTGTTCATATTTGTATGTTATGTTTGTTGTTTTTATATGTAATAGTGACCTTTTAACGTAGTAAAATAAAGAGCCTTTTAGCGTAGTAAAATATAGAGTAGTGTAGTAAAATATAGAGCATTTTAGCGTAGTAAAATATAGAGCTTTTTAGCTTAGTAAAATATAGAGCCTTTTAGCGTAGAGTCTCTGTAGTTACCGGGCGTCAAATATCGAGCCTGGAACCCATACATAATTATTCAGTCCAATTCAATAATTTTTAATTTAATTCTTTAAATAAACAATATTCCATCGGTAACTAAAATTCACACGCATAATAATTAACGATAACTTGGTGCGACCGGGCCTCAAATATCGAGCCTGGAACCCATACATAATTATTCAGTCCAATTCAAGAATTTTTAATTTAATTTATTAAACTAACAAATTTCTAAAAAATATTGAAAATGACACACATAATAATTAAGTATAGCTTGGTGCTACCGGGCCTCAAATATCGAGCCTGGAAGCCATACATAATTATTAAGTCCAATTCAAGAATTTTTAATTTAATTTATTAAATTAACAAATTTCTAAAAAATGTTGAAAATGACACACATAATAATTAAGTATTGCTTGTTGCTACCGGGCTTCAAATATCGAGCCTGGAAGCCATACATAATTATTAAGTCCAATTCAAGAATTTTTAATTTAATTTATTAAACTAACAAATTTCTAAAAAATGTTGAAATTGGCACACATAATAATTAAGTATAGCTTGGTGCTACCGGGCCTCAAATATCGAGCCTGGAAGCCATAGATAATTACTCAGTCCAATATTAAAAATGATTCTTTAATTTATTAAGCTAACACACACAATTAATTTTGTTTAAATTATAGTAGACGACATGGCCTTTCCTCCGCCTGCGCATCCTGGACCTGCCGAGGATCAGCTATTAGTGTTGCAGGGCGACCATAGGTCCTCCTTTGTATGGGAGGGACAGCTATCGGAGCAGGCTCTCCGCCCCAGGAGACCTGACGATTTGTGGGAGTTCATCGTGGAGCATCCTTTCCATGCCCGCGTAGTCGCGCGCCTACAGACTACGGGCTTCTATACGATTTTTGAGCTTGGACGGATGCAGCTTGATTGGTCTCTTATCACGGCCTTGGTAGAGCGGTGGCGACCGGAGACGCACACTTTTCACTTGCCCACTGGAGAGGCCACCATCACGCTGGAGGATGTTCAGGTTTTGTACGGGCTGCGCGTAGATGGACAGGCCGTGGCACTGCCCCAGTACATTAGATCCATGGCGCGTGCACAGTTTTGGATATGATGGGGCAGTTTACTGGTTATAGACCTCAGGGTGACGCTGGGGGCAGTCGCGTTGCTTTGTCAGCCATCAGAGATCATATGGCGTTTTTGCACCCAGACATTACCGGCGAGACGGAGGATCTCCATATTGAGAGGTACACACGGTTGGCGCTGCTCCTGCTTTTCGGGTATGTCTTGTTCCCGAACACTTCGGGGAGTAAAGTATGCGCTTTCTCCATCATCTTCAGCGGCTGGATGATTTACCACAGTACAACTGGGGTGTTGCTGTTCTCGCATACCTGTATAGGAGCATGTGCAGGGCGAGCATGGGCCCAGCGGTGGACATATGTGGTTTTCTGCCCCTCCTACAGGTGACAACATTTTCGAATACATCATTACTCCGAATTCTATATGGTCGAAATGGCTCATAAATTTTACATCAACCTTTTATCTTATGTTTGGGCCTGGCAGCGGATCATGCCGTTGCAGCCACCTCTACCACCACTTGCGCCCGGTGAGGCTTATCCGTTTCTCCCTCTAGCTTCTAGGTGGATTCTCCGGCGTGGGAACTACCGAGGGAGCGATGCTCATCATAATCTCCCCCTTGTCAGGGATGTGTTAGATATGCTGGTGGACGGACAGGTAAATATGTACCTACACTTGCTTGTTTTAAATTGAGTTGTGTTGCGCATACTCACTTTTATGTTATTATTTGGTAGTTCATCTGGACGCCATACAGCGACGAGTTGCTAGCTCAGCTGCCCGATATTTGCTCAGTCGACCGACTGCTTTGGAGCACCTCCGTCCCGATGATCTTCTTCGATATGGTTGAGTATCATGCCACAGAGTGTGTGCTTCGCCAGTTTCACCGTCCCCAGCCTATATCGGGGGAGCCTGGATGGGTGGCTACACACTATCAGCGGGACGACCGTGCCAGGGTGGACGATATATATATGGGATGGCTAGAGCAGCAGGTCCATATTTGGGAGGAGCGAGGTCACCGTATTCCGCCACCACCTACATTTACCTAGGAGGCCACTATTCATCTGTTTACGTCATGGTACTGCCGTCACACCCGACTGATGATCGGGAACCCCATTCATGTACTTGGCGATCGCTATAGACCATGTGAAACAAGTAGTAATCTTAGCATGTGAAAAAGTATATTTGTATTGTACGTGTTGAGGCAAAAAACATTTTCTCACCGTGGTCTCGTCGGCCGCCTGAGTATATGCATCCGTGGTGTCCTCATCAAAGCATGTAGTGGCCTCAAAGATGGGCTGGGACAAAACCTTCATAAGAAAGTTAAAAATTAATTAATGTCAGCTCATTAAGGAAAAGAAAACAAATTGAAATTTTAAAGTAATACAAACATACCTGCGCTTGTGGTAGATCCGCATCAACCGCCGGGGATGAGGCATAACTCAACCTGCGCCCGCCATCCACGTCCCGGGTGGGCCGATCTTCAGCTACGGTAGATGGGCATGCAAAGTACTGGTCTACATCCCCGTCGAATGTACCCATGATTGACAATGCTCCTAACGGGGTGACCTGCGATGCTGGCAGAGATAGCTGAAGGCTGTACGACGGCATGCTGCTGGAAGGCTCATCTACCTGAGGTCCATAACCCGGCTGATCATCTCCAAGAGCCTCATCTCCAAAATCTCCATCATGTCCCTCAACAGGTGGGCCAACAGGTGCCTCACAGCCCCCTTGCTGGGACCACCTTCTCGCCGTCCCCCACGACCCTCGCGACCCTGTGGGGCACCCCTCCCTCGTGCCTCCCTCGTGCCCTACCCCTGCCTCGTGGAGCACCCCTACCCCGATGGTAGTCCTCTGGCGCCGCATACTAAGCCTCGTGGTCCAACCTCGCAGCATCTCTCGCTTGAAACAGGGTCGGACGAGCCACCTGTGCCACCCGCTGGCCATAGTCAACGAGTGCAGCATTGTCGGCATGCTGCTGCATCTCCTGTCCCAACTGGTAGAGGCGATGATGCCCAATAGCCTGTGAAACATTTAAAATATTAATTAAATAATGCTATATCACAATTATAAGATATTAATAAGCCACAAAAACATACCAGTGCCTCGTGCCTCCCGGCGTATGGTCTGTAGCGATCGCCAAGTACATGAATGGGGTTCCCGATCATCAGTCGGGTGTGACGGCGGTACCATGACGTATACAGATGAATAGTGGCCTCCTAGGTAAATGTAGGTGGCAGCGGAATACGGTGACCTCGCTCCTCCCAAATATGGACCTGCTGCTCTAGCCATCCCATATATATATCGTCCACCCTGGCACGGTCGTCCCGCTGATAGTGTGTAGCCACCCATCCAGGCTCCCCCGATATAGGCTGGGGACGGTGAAACTGGCGAAGCACACACTCTGTGGCATGATACTCAACCATATCGAAGAAGATCATCGGGACGGAGGTGCTCCAAAGCAGTCGGTCGACTAAGCAAATATCGGGCAGCTGAGCTAGCAACTCGTCGCTGTATGGCGTCCAGATGAACTATCAAATAATAACATAAAAGTGAGTATGCGCAACACAACTCAATTTAAAACAAGCAAGTGTAGGTACATATTTACCTGTCCGTCCACCAGCATATCTAACACATCCCTGACAAGGGGGAGATTATGATGAGCATCGCTCCCTCGGTAGTTCCCACGCCGGAGAATCCACCTAGAAGCTAGAGGGAGAAATGGATAAGCCTCACCGGGCGCAAGTGGTGGTAGAGGTGGCTGCAACGGCATGATCCGCTGCCAGGCCCAAACCTAAGATAAAAGGTTGATGTAAAATTATGAGTCATTTCGACCATATAGAATTCAGAGTAATGAACAGAGTATTCAAAAATGTTGTCACCTGTAGGAGGGGCAGAAAACCACATATGTCCACCGCTGGGCCCATGCTCGCCCGACACATGCTCCTATACAGGTATGCGAGAACAGTAGCACCCCAGCTGTACTGAGGTAAATCATCCAGCCGCTGAAGATGATGGAGATAGCGCATACTCACAGTACTCCCCGAAGTGTTCGTGAACAAGACACACCCGAAAAGCAGGAGCAACGCCAACCGCGTATACCTCTCAATGTGGAGATTCTCCGTCTCGCCGGTAATGTCAGGGTGCAAAAAAGCCATATGATCTCTAATGGCTGACCAGCGCCACCCTGAGGTCTATAACCAGTAAACTGCCCCATCATATCCAAAAACTGGGCACGCGTCATGGATCTAATGTACTGGGGCAGTGCCACGGCCCGTCCATCTACGCGTAGCCCGTATAAAACCTGAACATCCTCCAGCGTGATGGTGGCCTCTCCAGTGGGCAAGTGAAAAGTGTGTGTCTCCGATCGCCACCGCTCTACCAATGCCGTGATAAGAGACCAATCAAGCTGCATCCGCCCAAGCTCAAAAATAGTATAGAAGCCCGTAGACTGTAAGCGCGCGACTACGCGGGCATGGAAAGGATGTTCCACGATGAACTCCCACAAATCATCAGGTCTCCTGGGGCAGAGAGCCTGCTCCGATAGCTGTCCCTCCCATACATAGGAGGACATATGGTCGCCCTGCAACACTAACAGCTGATCCTCGGCAGGTCCAGGATGCGCAGGCGAAGGAAAGGTCATGTCGTCTACTATAATTTAAACAAAATTAATTGTGTGTGTTAGTTTAATAAATTGAATAATTATTTTAATATTGGACTTGAGTAATTATATATGGGTTCGAGGCTCGATATTTGAGGCCCGGTAGCACCAAGCTATCCTTAATTATTATGTGTGTCATTTTTAACATTTTTTAGAAATTTGTTTGTTTAATAAATTAAATTAATTTTTTTTTGAATTGGACTTAATAATTATGTATGCCCTTCCAGGCTCGATATTTGAGGCCCGGTAGCACCAAGCTATACTTAATTATTATGTGTGTCATTTTCAATATTTTTTAGAAATTTGTTAGTTTAATTAATTAAATTAAAAATTCTTGAATTGGACTTAATAATTATGAATGGCTTCCAGGCTCGATATTTGAGGCCAGGTAGCACCAAGCTATACTTAATTATTATGTGTGTCATTCAAAACGTTTTAGAAATGTATTTATTTTAATAAATTAAATTAAAAATTCTTGAATTGGACTTAATAATTATGTATGGCCTTCCAAGCTCGATATTTGAGGCCCGGTAGCACCAAGCTATACTTAATTATTATGTGTGTCATTTTCAATATTTTTTAGAAATTTGTTAGTTTAATTAATTAAATTAAAAATTCTTGAATTGGACTTAACAATTATGAATGGCTTCCAGGCTCGATATTTGAGGCCCGGTAGCACCAAACTATACTTAATTATTATGTGTGTTACTTCAAAATGTTTTAGAAATGTATTTGTTTAATAAATTAAATTAATAATTCTTGAATTGGACTTAATAATTATGTATGGCCTTCCAAGCTCGATATTTGAGGGCCGGTCGCACCAAGTTATCCTTAATTATTATGCGTGTGAATTTTAATTACCGATGGAATTTTGTTAGATTAAAGAATTAAATTAAAAATTATTGAATTGGACTGAATAATTATGTATGGGTTCCCAGGCTCGATAATTGACCCCCGGTAGCACCAACTTATCCTTAATTATTATGCGTGTCAATTTCAGCATTTTTACAATTTTGTTAATTTAATAAATTAAATAATTAATCATTGAATTGAACTGAGTAATTATCTATGAGTTCCGGGCTCGATATTTGAGTTATTTGACAACATATATTAATTTTTTACTTTTGTAAGTTTATTTTATAAATTAAATAATTAATTTTGTAAAGTGTTATTGGATAGAGTTTGCAGTTACTACATACTTAAGGCTTTATATTTTACTAAGCTAAAAGGCTCTATATTTTACTACGCTACAAGGCTCTATATTTACTACACTAAAAGGCTCTTTATCTTACTACGCTAAAAGGTCACTATTACATATAAAAATAACAAACATAACATACAAATATGAACAACAAACTAAATAAATAATATTTATTTATTATTTAACCAAATAAAAACATAACATTAACAATACAAATGTCACGACCCAATTCCCGAACCGGTCGTGATGGTGCCTCTCGTGAAGACAAGGCCGGCCAGAACAAACGAAACACCTCCTATAAACAATTAATTAACATAAACAGAACTAAAACATGTTTAAGATAGCCATAATTACGGAAACAGCGATAATAACAAGGAAAACCATCCCTACACAACCCAAACCGGGGTGTCACAAGTCACGAGCATCTATCAGAGTATAATTACAACTACAAGGCCTAAAATATACAAAAGAGAACTGATAAACATAAGGAAGAAATGCGGTGCTGCGAACGGTAGCAGTCACCTCGCTAAACTCCGATAAACTTAGCCTCCGATCAACTCAAACCCGCTACCGGATGAACAAATACCTGCATCTACACACGAGGTGCAGGGAGTAAAGTGAGTACTCCAACTCAATGAGTAATAACAATAAATAATGGCTGAAAGCATGAAAACACATAAATGCACAAGGCAATTCTATATCAGGCAGTAAATTACTTAAAGCAGTAAAACCGTAAAGAATCAAATGAAATCTCCTTTTAAAAACAGGTAAATCAGGTAAAACAACAAGTAAATAGTGAGTAGTAATCTGCCCCTCGGGCCCAGTATCAATCGCTCAGAACAGTATCAGCCCCTCGGGCTCAGTATCAATCACTCAGCACAGTATCAGCCCCTCGGGCTCACTCTCAGATCATATGGGTACCTGCGCTCACTGTGGTTGTGCAGACTCCGGAGGGGCCCCTTACGGCCCAAGCGCTATATCAACATAAGGCCTGAAAGCCTTCTCACATCACACATAAGGCCTGAAAGCCTCCTCACATCACACTCGAGGCCTGAAAGCCTCCTCACATCACACTCGAGGCCTGAAAGCCTCCTCACATCATGGCCCTCGGCCTCACTCAGTCCAGAAAACATCATAAGCCCCTCAGGCATCAATAAAATAGTAGTGCTCAGCCCAAACAACAGTGGAAATATCATTTAAGTCTCAAAGTTNCCCTACCCTGGGGGTGGAGAGGTTGTTTCCTATAGATCCTCGGCTTAGGAAGATGAAAAGAACACTAGAAACAAGCAATAACAACAAGCAGTACAACGGCAGAAAAATAGATGAAAGAAAGCAATAACAACAAGCAGTACAACGGCAAGATACTACGAAATCGTAGTGGAAGATAGTAAGAAAACAACATGTAATACTAGCAACCTAAGGCAAGACACCAGCAGACTAGCCCTACTAACCCGGTGCGGAATAGAACAACGCTCGAATACCTACTAGCCCTCAACCCTAATTCTCAACCTCCACACCTTTCTATCAAGGGTCATGTCCTCGTAAGCCGAAGTCGTGCCATGTCCTGCCTAATTACCTCTCCCCAATACGTCTTAGGCCGTCCTTTACCTCTTCTCATACCCGCCAAAGCCAACCACTCACACATCCTTTCAGGGCATTTAGGCTTCTCCTTTGCACATGCCCGAACCATCTAAGTCTCGCTTCCCGCATCTTATCCTACATTGGGGTCACGCCATCCTTCAGAATTATGTTATGCTCCAAATTGTAGCCCGGAAAAGAGACTTCGGGTTAACCTTTAGTGCTCTTTTTTCTTCTAGACGTGTAACAACTATTAGTCAGGTCACTAGCATCCATTGCATTTCTAGACTAACTATGCAGAAGACCAAATAAGCACTCTCGAGAAAGCCAATCACTGTTATAGTTAAGCATTTATTCCCTCCTTAAAGAAAGGAAACGAGAATGAATGAGAGGCTGTAACCATAATTACGGGCTAATTCTGTATTTGGATCATTTGCCTAACGTAGTTATCCGAGGATACCTGGAAAAGCTCCAGAAATTCTTCATTTTCTCACTAACCAGTAGCATTATGTTTAATCTGGGTCTTTTTGTAAAGCATCATCTCTTTTAGATACTAAGGAGTTCTGACCTACTGGATAAGCTTTTATGATATTACAATTTTTCTTTGATCGGTTAAGATACTACTGTTTTGAAGACGGCCCGATATAGAAGAATTACTAAGTGTCTAAGTGGAATTACTATATCCTAAATAGACCTTGCATCTTTTTGTAATGCCTTTAGAACTTTTCTATTGCTTAAAGGTGAAAGATACTAAGTCAGAGGAGATCTTGTTGCATCAACTATTCTATAATCGACAAAAATGATATAGATGGAAGATACATTTTCATAGTTTGCTAAGGGGCTCAGGCTTTTCGTATCATCTTTCTGTATTTGGTGCAATGCATGCTATATATGCTGGTTTATCTCTCTATTGCAAAGACGCCTATAAAGCAACAAAAGAAAAAAACAGATGACATGATAATCTCCACTCTGATATGTATCTTTGTTTCAAACTTTCAGAGTTTTGGTGGAGCAATTGGAAAGAACAAATATCAGTCAGATGGGAACCAATGCCAAGATGGCATTCTGGATCAACTTGTACAATTCCTTAGTCATGCATGTAAAGATGGCTCTTGCTTGTACTGTTTCCTTTTGGATTCATTTATTATGTTTCTTTACATCTTCTTCTTTGTCTTATCTAGGCATATCTGGCATATGGAATACCACAGAACTCTCTTAGGAGGTTGGCATTGTTTCACAAGGTAGTCTAATCTAATTTTTGTTTACTATGTGTCATTCTCCTTTTATTCTTTTTGTTTATTATGGATTGCAAGTATTTATATATGCATACAGATTGGTATCGGAGTTGTGGTCCTTTTCTTTTCTCTTTAAATTCTTTTCTCTGTTATCCTTCGTTCTAATTATTTATTAGGATGGGAATGCATCGAAACACTGTCTGATTGCTGATTCATCTACTTGGCTTATTTATCATACATGTATCTTTGAGTATTTGATTCAACATTTGCTTCTCTGTTTAGTGCAGGCTGCTTACAATGTTGGTGGCCAGATCATAAGTGCCAATGCCATTGAACAGTCGATTTTTGGTCTGCGTACGCATCGGATTGGACGGGTATTCACTATTTCTAATTTAGAATGGCTAAAAGCTCCATTTGAGGAATAACAGTATAACATCATTAGAAACTTATTTTGGATCCTGCCTCTGTTGCTCATTATACATAAAGATAATTGAGCAAAAAGATGCTCTGTGCTGTTTTCTTGCTCTGACCATATCATAAGTTGCTAGTTTTCTGTTCTCAGCCTTATGCAATAACTACTTGTTGTTGTTATTTTAGCCTTATGCAATAAGTGCAATTGTTTCTCAATTTACAGTAGTCTGGTATGTTATTATCTTCCAACATGCACTTTCTCAAAGAGAGGAGAAAAAATTAGGGCTTCAGCAGTTGTGGCTGATTTAAATGCCAAAAGAAAATAAGAAAATGATTAAAGTCCTGTCGAAATATACACTAGCTACAAAAAAGCCTAGTAAATCCACAGTTATTACTTCAACAACACTTGATGATTTTTCTTTCTTAACTCCAATTACAGTGGTTGGAGACCATTCTGTCAACTGCTTTACGGAAAAGATCGGGAGACATCAGCTCAAAATTCGCCCTTCAAGAGTTCCAGCCCCTTGTTCTCTTTGCTCTGTGCACTGGCGCTTTTTCCGATCCCATGGTACGTAGTTATGTTTTCTCATTTCATTGATTTTTCATTTTTCTTGTATATTCCCTGTGGACCGGAGCTTCTTCTGATCTCTTGGTAATTAAGTAGTTACATTTTCTCCTTATATTGGTAAACCAACAATTATCGCTTTCTTAAGGCCTTCTTGATATATTTGAAGCAAAACGGAGTAATAAGTGAAGCCTTATGAATACGCATTGGTTCTAAAGCAGAATGTATTTCCTTATATATTACCTGAGAATATTGAACGTCGCTATCATCAAATACTATTCTGGATGATATGACCATCGATTGATCTTATGACGAGTGAAATATAGTTAAGACAATGACCTAAAGTTTCCACTCAAGGCTTAGCATATTATAATTAGTTTCTTTGCTCAATGTTGCATTTTCTTCTTATCTCTAATAAAGAATACCTGATGCATATCAGTTGCTTTACCTTAGTTCCTCCTCCACTTCTATTTTACATGCTAGAGACATACCGACTTGTTTAATTTTGTAGCTCTCGTAAGGGACCAGTTTTTTCTAGTTAGAAAGCCAAACATCTAACACTTTCTCCGGTTCTTTCTTCTTTTCTAGCTGAAAGTGTACACATCCGTAAATATTGTGGAGGAATTGGAAGCAGCAAAGAGAGAGTTTCTACAGGCTAATATTGTTGTAAACAAGTCAAAAAGAGTATTCTTACCTAAGGTTCTCGAAAGATATGCGAAGGAAGCAAGTATTCCAGCGGATGATCTTCTTAACTGGGTTATGGAAAACGTTGAAAAGAAGCTTCGCGATTCCATACATAAATGTGTTGAAGGAAGAACCAATAAAAAGTCGTCTCAGATAATTGAATGGCTACCTTACTCTTCAAGATTCCAATATGTAATTTCAAAAGATTTTACAGAGAAGCCTTGGTGGGCATAGAAGTGTTGAATAATGTAGAGAAAGTCTTGAGTTGATCTTTCTAATGCACATAACTAATGCTTAAGCCTTGGTTCATTCCTTCAGTTTGTAGGATTCTGATTTGATCTGGAACTAAGTGATTGTACATTGACTTCAATTCATTTACAGGTTTGTGAGCACGTGATTTTTGCGTCGCTTGAATTATTCCTATACGATTCTTAGAATTAGGATTTTTCTTTTATTATTTGAGTTTTAGGGAATTAATTGCATGATTTTTTGTTTGTTTGCATTTTGTGTGCATTTTTTTAGTTGTAAACTACCCGCTTCAAATCCAGCCCAAATCCCTAACCAACCCGGTCCAGACCCCTCCCCAATAGAACGACGTCGTTTAGGATGAGTTTAATCTTGGCCGTCTATGTTTCTTGATCGGATGGTCAAGAAGCCCAGATCAAAACATATATAAATGTCCTAACGCTACCCTACCCCCTCAGACCCCCTACCCTATCGTCTCTCTCCCTCTAACCTTAGAGACTGTACGCCACCGCCTTCCGCCGTCCGCCGCCCACCAAAAATACACCATAGCCTCCTCTCCTCCTCCCCCCCCCCCCTTCCAAATCTGACCTCTATTTCCTTCAAATCCTCACCAAACTCCTCGAATCTTCAAGACCCTAGGCGCCGCTTCCGCCGTGCACGGTGGCGCCACCCCCAAACCCCACCAAATTCACGTCCCTCTTCCCAAACCCCTGGCTATCTTCTTTTGAATCATCCTGGATGTTCTCGAATCTCAAATCCAAGAAGGGCAGAACCCTAGAAGCTCGAAGGTGTCCGATTTCTTCCCAACCTTTTGAGTCCAGAGGTGATTTAAGTCACCAAAATGATGCTTCCCTTTGTTCTTGGCAAAGAACAAACGTCTAGCATCATTTTGGGACTTGAATCGAATTCCAGTCCCGTTCGACCTTGCATAGGTGAGTTGCTCTTATTAGTTTAAACATAGTTTTTCTTTGTTTCCGTCAATTCATTCATGCTTTTCTTCTTCTTTCTTTTTCTTTTCTGGCAGTAATCAGTACTTTATGTTTTGTAGTTTAGTTAGTTTAAATTTTGTGATTTCTCCTCTTTTCTGTTAGGTTAAGTTATGAATTAGTGCTATTTATTAATTTTTACTTGTTAAATTCATGTTTGATTGACGATTGCCTATAGTTTGATAATTTGAACTGATAGGGATTCATTTAGGATTAAGAAAAATAGATCTGATTAATCGTAGGTTTGTTTGGGTATTACTGTTTTCCTATAATATTTTACTTTGTTTTGAACTCCTTCAATTGATAGTTTACTGCTTTTTAGTGATACATTTAGTTGTAGGATTCACATTAATTAGATTTAAATCAGGTTCATTAGGTTATAGGATTATTAATTCAATTTTAAGGATTATTTGGTTATAGTTGAATGATTTGCAGATTTTTTGATCATGGTTTAGTTTAAAAGGTCTAGGCTAGTTTTGACATATGGTAGTAATTTCAGATTGAATAAAAGGGTAGTATAGGTAGTTTATATAAGGAATCCTGCAAATAACTGAATTGGAAACCCCTAGAACATTCTAGATGGGGTTCCAATTAGAATTTCAGGAACTTAATAGTCTAACTTGGGCAGCAAGCCAACAAATGGGGAACTAACGAGTTAAAACTTTGAAAATGATAGAGGGACTTAGGGGGCAAAGTATAATTTTGAAGGCAGCCCTAGTTTTGCCTATAAAAAGGCATGTCATTGCCTTATTGAACAAGTTTTTGAAATCTTAAAAATCCCACTAGTTTCTAGAAGCATTAGAGATTCAAAAAAACTCTGAGATTTCGAAATTCAAATTCAAAACCTACTGAAATCCAAAAACTCCTGAAAAACTACTGAAATTCAAAAAAAATGCACTGTTTCATCCAGTTTCAAAACAACTGAAGCTTACTTTGAAGTTCTGAAATCGATAGGAAGTTATCTATTGAAGGTCATTTTGGTTCATCAAATCTAGGTTTAAGTATGTCAAATTTTGGGTTGATTGAAGCCAATTTGGGAGATTTACTGCATCCTACTCTAATTTCCTAGGTTTTCAACTTGGAACTGCTGGTTTCCTGCTTAAATTGAGTGTTGTTATACTGCTGATACTACCTTCTCCCTACTTTGTTTCAATTCCAGGTACACATCCTGTATCTCTCAGGTTTTGGAATGAAATGAAGTGCTGCCTGTTCTTCTCATGTTGAATTTCATTATTGAATTGTAATTAGTTTCAGAACTCTATCATATCTTAGTGTGTAATTGACTAAGGACTGTTTAGAATTGGAATTTTATGACTGAAATTAGCTTATCAGCATTATGACTACTTGCATTGGAATATTCGTGTGTATTAGCTTATCATAGCTATTATGAATATTATGAATTATTTTCAGACTTGTATGAGTAGTATAAGTATGATACTAGCTGTGGTTTAATAAATTTAGTTTGGTTATTATGTCAATTTAAGGTCTGAGTTTAGATTAAGGTGCTGTTTGGACTGTAGGAAACTGTATTTCAGATTTATGAGTATACTATTAGCTATGATATGGACAATCTCTAGCTATTCGGTTAATTTGAAGTTCCAGCTGGAATGAAGTAATGGTTTTAAAAAAAAAAAAAAACAGGTTCAAAAATGAGTACGTACGCTAAATTTAACCAAGCATACCAAATGACGTCACATTTTCGTCCAAATTCCAGCATCTCGTTTTGGAGTCAAAGTGGCATTCCAGTATAGTAAATGAGTCTTAATCACGTTAGTTAATCACTGAATCCCTTAAATATTTGTAGGATTTCGACAGTTTAGAATTGGATTGCTAGTTATCAAACTTGAAATTTTCCTTTTTTATCCTAATCAACGAATCCAATTTTGAAGCAAGATCATAATATTGATTGGGCTCGCCTATAGGCCCAGGGCTGATAGTCTATGTCGATTGCTTTGGGCCTCAGCATCACTGATGCATGGCCTAGTTCCGGTCCTACCTATCTTCCCAATTGGGCTTGCGTTGAGGCCCAAGGCTGGTAGCAGTTCATAAGACGACTGATTTTGCTTTTCTTCTATTGGGCCAAACTCGAAACTCAATGCTGAGAGCTATAATCACAATTGTGGGTTTAATTTGGTAATGCAAGTCTTTTGGGCCTTCCAAGCTAAGTAGCAAATTTGAATTAAGGAGCCTCCAATAAATGGAGGTCTTCTTGTTTAAATTTGGACTTGGTCTTGAAGCCCGAATTTCATGAATGCTTTAAAAATTAGTTATGTTAATTATTAAGTTGCTTTAGAGACAATCGTTAATAGAAATAATAGTCTCTTTTAGGATGGCCTTTAAAATTGAAAACGAGGTTGCGCCGCACCGAAATAAAATCACAANAATGCTTTTAAAAGTAGTTTACTAATAATGTTAATTAATTAAATTGCTTAAGAGACAATCGTTAATAGATATAATAGTCTCTTTTAGGATGGCCTTTAAAATTGAAAACGAGGTGCGCCGCGCCAAGTAAAATCATAAACTGCGTGGCCCTCTTTAATTACTTCATTAAAATACTTAGAAATCGGGACATGCCATTTAGCGAATTTTCATGGTCTCCCGCAAAGTTAATAACACGTTAGCCACTTTAGGCGCGTTCTTTAATAAATTTACCTTCTTAAATTTGGGTGTGCATTTCATGTGACCCAAATCCAAATCCCAAAACGTTGAATAAAATGTGTCGAGGGTCCGGGTGCATTTCATGTGACGTGATCCAAAAATATGTTTTAAACGACGTTCAATTTCCTAAAATTAATTAAAAGCGGTAAATAATTTTAAAATTGCACTATAGGATGACATGTATGAAAATCAGATTTTTAGCCAATTATAATGGTTTAAGCGACCGTGCTAGAACCACGGGATCCGGGGGTGCCTAACACCTTCCCTCGGGTCAACAAAATTCCTTATTTAGAATTTCTGGTTCGCAGACTCCATTTGGGAAGTCGAAATTTCCTCGATTTGGGATTCAAGAAAAATCGGTGACTTGGGACACCAAATGCCAAACCTATCCCAAGTGGCGACTCTAAAAATCAAATAAATAATCCCATTTCGAATAATGTCACTTAAAATGAAAAAACTCCCTTATACACTATCTTTCGGGGTAGGTGTGTAAAAAAAGGAGGTGTGACAGCTCTGGCGACTCTGTTGGGGACACGAACCCAGAATTTCGGTTCAGGGTTCAAGAATTCGAGCTTAAATAAATTGTTATATTTGGCTTTATCTGATTTTCCTACATGTTTCATGTTAAATGTTCTAAATGCTTTACCGCTTTGATATTTGGTGAATTGTACATATAAACTATTACGAAACCCTTCTCTTTTTATCTTCGGGGATGTGCTCGCTGGTCGAGACTCCTTATTCTGTTAGTGTCATACCTTGAAATAAGAAAGAGGCTCGGATAAGTTACTAAGCCGGATGATCTTTCGGGTCCCCGGTACGTAGCCCCCTCCTCGACTCGAGTTGTCCGCTCGGGTACACAGTCTAGACCAAATACCCAGGTTTTGAACCTAGTATAACAAAGCCTCATGCCGGATCCCTAGTAGGAACGTTGTTTGCATGACGTGCATTTGACTTAGGGAACTCAACACAGGGGTTGGGTCCGTCTAGGACAGGTGACCTGAATCGAAAAGACCATCCTGATGCATCTTACGTGCTACTTGCACATTTATTTGCCTCGGACTTGCATGCTGACCGGCTTTCGAATGTTTGGGAAAAAAGAAAGAAAAAAGAAGAGGTAGAGAAACAGCGGTATGAGGGTTAAAGAGAGATAACTACTTATTTTGAAAAGTACCGATGCCGAATTTTTTGGAAAATAGACAAAAATAGAAAATATGTTTGTTTTCAAAAATAGTTTGTTTTATTTGCCAATAAAAAAAAAGGAAAAAAGGAGTCTTGTTTTCAAAAATAGTTTGTTTTATTTGCCCGAACTATGCCGGTTTGATTCTCACCGGATGTGAGATACGTAGGCAACCTTCATCGGGTCCAACCTCCCTTTTGCAAAATAGCCCAAAAATACCAAAATAAGTCGGGTGATGCCATTCTTGTTTTAAAATAAGCCGAATGTCCCCAAAAGGACGCCGGAAGGCTGTTTTTGCAAGAATAGCCACCTTGAGTCATTTTTT